GGTCATCCATCCATTGCGTAAGTTTCTCTGTACGCGTGTCTACCGGACTTAGCGAATCTTGTGTGGTCGTCCGACACGTGCGTGTTTGTCGTTTGAAGCGTCGAGGTCCTTCACTGTTGAATGGGGGCATTCTACGTTTTGCATGGGAGGTTGAACACTTGCGCTGACTGACGAATCGGTGTGGCATGATTTTGTCAGGCATGATATCGCCGTGTACGAGTGATTATCATTCACAAACACCGCTGTCGTTTTCTTCTTGAGTACAACCAGGTGCCTACTGCTGTTTGAGTTCAAGCTGAATAGTGTCTACTCCGGTAGTAATAAGCTTTGGGGGCATTGTGGACGCAGCGCACCTGGGTAGCAGTAGTTCACGTTGGGAAGCTGCCGTTGGATATGCATGTCAAAGATATGGTAGGTTAGGGTTTCTATCTGCCTGGTTGGCGTGTTGGCAGGAGAGAGAGATAGATGGAGAGAGAGAGAGACGGGACTCGTGTGCAATAATAATACACTGTGTTTACCATCACCAAGGAGGTGAATTGACCAGCCCCCCGAGGCCACGGGGGGAGGATACTGGTTCTAGGCCCTGCCTGATTTCAGGCGTGTCGTCAGGCCGATCAGAAGCCATAAACGTGATAAAAATGTAAATAGTGCAAGCAACCCGACACATCCGACCTCTTTCTATCGCAGTTGTGCAGCCCCACACTTACCACCGAAAACCGGTTCCAAGTACATGAACACCACTTCATTTTTTTTCCGCTGCGCGATAACTGAATGACCCTTTCCAGAACGTTTTGTAGCACCACTTGTAAATAGGGACCCCGTGGACTTGATTCTTTACAAATATCAAAGAGTTTGGGGGAGAATCACGATGGCGAATACTTCATGACACAAAAGCTAAAAATTCACGCAGTTTTTATTGGCTTTGAAACTTTGTGAAGATGTACATTGGGGTTGGTGAGAAACGCTGTGCGATGGGACCTTTTTTATTTTTTTATATGGTTGGTCGTTGGGTTTTGGGGGTGCCAGGAGCAGCACATGACCCAAAACCTCTAGAACCCCGGATATCCAGCAACAGGGTAAAAAATATAAAAGACCCTAGTGCGTTTCGTACTAACCCAATGAACATGTGTGCAAAGTTTCAAAGTCTGAGTCCTAAAAACGGCATGAAGTTTTTCCTGTTGAATGTTCTTGTATCCATTTCCTTGAACCAGCTTGTCAACCACAGCCAGCCCCAAAAGCACACCTTCGGCACCACTGCTGGCGGCAATCGAGTTTGCATGTTCATCTATGCTTTCCGCACGTAATGCCTCGCTCGAGAGAGATGTGTGGGTCGATGAGAGATTCCCCATGGAAAGACAGGAGGCATGACCGCGACTGTTCGTTCTGGTATTTCGCCGTACAGACAAGAAGATGACCAAGAGCGAGCAGAGCAGGGGGGAAGGGGAACACGGGGGGGGGAAATGTCGAAAGACAGAACACATGGGTGCAGCCGAAGAGAGCAGGACGTAGATGGCTGAAAGGATAGAGAAGTGTGGACCGGACTGATGTCGATGATGGAGACGATAGCAGGAATACGAACTGGACGTATTCCCATATTTATTTTTGTTTTTTCCGTCGTGTCGCTAACATCCACCCATCCACCCACCCCCTTTCGCAGTGTCCCCGAAGTGATGTTGTGTCCTAGGAAGTCAGTCATCTATTTGGTGCCACTTTAGTGGTTGCCTTTTCGTTGTGGTTCCGGTTGTCTGGAGCGTTGGCGGGGACCTGTCTATCTTCCTTTTGTTTCCGTTCGTTGTCTTTCCTTCTCTCTTTTTTTTCTTTTTTTCTGTCTTTCGTTGTTTCATTCATTTTGACCGGGGTCGATCGTGGCTATCCCAGTTAGACTTTTTTTTTGTTTTATCAGTTTTTTTCTTTTGTTTGGGTAGAAAAACAAATACCGCCTTGGAGGAATTTTCCTGGTCTCCATTTTACTTTTAGATGGTGTACCCCTTTTGGGGGGGCAGCCTGTGATCACGGAAGGTGTCCGCGTCAGTTGGACCAGTACGGACACTAGAAGGTACTGAGCGGAGACCGGAATGCTTATGTCAAGACAACAACAACAACAACAACAACAACAACAACAACAAGACCATCGGCCACAGCGGATACTAGAAAAAAACAGGAAAGTTTGACACGGGATTTACGATGTGGCACCGTGTAGCCCCTCCCTGTTATGTCCGGTCCAGAACATCTCAAACCCAAACACACCACCTCTAAATTACATGTGACGTCCTAGCCACCACCAACGAAAGGTTCAGTGTGGGTTGTGGTACTCTTCATACACCGACGTATTGAAGATGATCGAGCGTAAACTAGGTATTTGAGGTACTACTGACGGACGGTGATTAGACCCCGATTTATGGGAACGGAATCTTGTCGACAAATCTTGATCTTGGCCAAGATCTGTCAGTTTCACGATTTATGGGAAAAAAATCTTCCGATATATCGGCCAAGATTTCTCGAGGCCCGAAATCTGCCCTTTCGAACAAATCTTGACCCAAGATTTGTCAAGTCGAGCCTTCCGACAAATCTTGAGGCGGCGAAACAAATCTTGCCTGGGTGCGGCGCGATCACCGAAGGTCAGTCAACCTAGTCGTCCATAACGCCATGAAATCTGCACGTAGCACACTCGCAAGGGTCTCAAACGCACCCTGGCGTTACTGTGTCAGCGCCACGGGCGCTGACGGCGAACGAAAACGACCAAGGCGCGCGAAAAAATGCGTTTTTGCCCTGGCTCGTTCCACGTGCGTCATCACCAGTCTGTCGAGGGACCGTTCAAAGAGTACGTTATTTTGAAGTAGGAAAAGAGAGGAGGAGGGACGTTTTGCCAACACAGCTCTGTCGTGTACGACGCTTCTATCTCTTCATCGAATCACCCCACACCCAATCCCTTTGCAACCGAGCCAGATCCATGAGTGCAGATGAGAGAGCCGGAGGTTTGACCTCAGTACGCCTGCTACATCGTGAGATACGTGCACGGGTGTAATGCAACCGAGCCAGATCCATGAGTGCAGATGACAGCGCCGGAGGTTTGACCTCAGTACGCCTGCTACATCGTGAGATACGTGCACGGGTGTAATCGGCTTCGGGTTGATGCACTTTCTTGTCAGTTGGACAGCAATGGAACAATTTTGTTTCTCCGCTTGATATGAACTCGTCGGCAACGGCCTCTATTTTGCACCCCAGGTAGGCGCCCATCGCTAGTATCCACCCATAGTGTTGAGGCAATACAGCTGGGGGAGTGACGCCCCTTCTACAACTGCGTCATGCTCACTTTTCGCCACACCTCGGCATTTTCTGTGGACCAAGTGGCCGTTGTGCCTTTATCAACTTCAAGCAGAAGATAGGGACAACACGCCACTTTTTCAACATTCAACATATTTCCCCCATAAATCGCGATACTGCGAATCTTAGCGAAGATATATTGTGCGCAAATGTTGGGTCAAAATGCCAAGATATATTTGCAAGATTCTGTTTCCATAAAGAAGGGTCTTTTTTTCAACTCCGTCTCAACTCCGGACACGGGTGAGAGGCGCATATGCCCATAGCTAGCTCGAGATACACCGACCGAGCACCAACCGAGCTAAATATACCCTTCGACGATAACCTTGATGGGCGGTTAGAAGTGTGGTTGCACCTCTCTTTCAACTTCCACGTTTATCATGCATGCGCAATTATGGGCCAACTTTTGTTGTGTCGCATCCACACACCCGCACCCGCCATCTAGAAACTAATCCCTCACACCAGTTCGCAAGGCACAGTGAAGAGAGAACCCAAGAAGCTGAATCTAATAAGCTGCTTAGTTACATCATTACATGGGCAGCAGTGTGGTATTTGACGGCGTTGCGAATCGATTGCCGATAGTGCGTGGTTCTCGCCTTCCGTGTGAGATGCGTCGTCGTTCGTTGAACCAATTCCGGATTATTGCTGCCGGATGAACCTCTCCAGGTGACTTTCGGTGACATTCCGAGAACTGCGGGTTTATAGCAGTAGCTCATGCCATCAGCTCTGCTGACGACTCGCTGTTCAGGGGTTTTCGGTCCGTGGCGGCGAGCACAGCAGTTCAAGACACTGAGTGTCGATCTAATTTAGGGTGATTTTGTGGCCGCTACTACCATCGTTCAGTTCCAGGAGCAAACCTAACATGCCAAACCACACGACGCCTCTTCATGGTGTCCACTTCTGTTAACAGAAGTCAAGTAAAACAAGACACGGCGGGAAGGTTGTTTTCTTTCGGTATGTTGGACAAAGTAGGAAATAGAGCCAGCGCCACCAGGGGTCTCGCATCAGTCTGTCCCTTAAACCGACCCTAGTCCGCTGCAGAGAGCAGAAGCTGCTGAAACTTGGGAGGGTCATGATTTGCGACGCCTTACCGAGGCATACTTCGGGCGTCGCGAAACGTGCGCCGCCGTCGTATGCATAGTTTAAAATTGTTTTTTAGACACGATCGATTAGGGGCTATATATGCGAATAAAAATGAATTGACAGAAATTTCGGCCGAAGAGAGACTTAAGCTCTTCCGAGCCTGGGAACCAACGAGGTGAATCAACCAGGCCTCCGAGGCCACGGGGGGGGGCTTCCAGTCCTAGGCCCTGCCTGATTTCAGGCGTGTCTACAGATAGTATCGATTGGGTCGGTTTGGGTCGATCTCAGTATCGTGACGACGGCAGTTCAACTATCCTCAGCATTTTTTCCGCTTCAAGGAGCGCAACGTAATGAAGGGAAAGCTACTACAGCTTAACTTTTTGTGTTGGGTACGCTCCATGCGGGGCAGTGGCGCAAGGAGCAAAAAACAAGTTCATTGCACATATTGAAATCATCTTGCTCGGCTAGTTTATGGTGGTGGGATCATCCGGAACTAGTGTGTATGTTCCTTCCTGCTTCTAGAGAGCCTTGGTTACACTTTGATAGTAACTCTTTAGAACAAACCGATGTTGAACGTAGCAAGGCTAGGTTCTTCACGCGAGCAAGGCTAGGTTGCTCACCCCACATCTACCCTAACCCTCACCCTCACCCTCACCCTCACCCTCACCCACGGCCAAAGCACGGCCTAGCGGCCGCGAACTGGGCGGCATCACGCGGCTGCGCCGCGTGCTCGGAATGCGGAACGGGGAGAGGGCGCTGGAGATGAATCGGCCACCAGAACCAACGCCGAACAACGCCCGACCAATCAGAACGCGTTAGTCCTAAAGATCTACTATCAATGTGTAAACACTACACCCACCCTCTGTTGCAGCACACGCCTCTGGAACCACGGTTTCAAAGAATATATACAGACGAATGCTACCCATTTCAGGCTCGCAAAACAATCAACACTGGAACCACACACGACAGTAGAGTACTCTGTGCACACTAACGGATACCCCCAGACGAATCATCTAAAAGCGAATGTCTCTTTTCATGCACTCAATCTTGGCAGCGAGCATATGATACCGCTGTCGCTCCTTCAAAAACTCGTCGAGGAAGTCTTGAGTCGGGACACGTTTCTCCAAGAAGTCCGTGGCCACTTGCTCGGAGCTGGTGTCGGCCATTTTGGAAGCATGCTTGACTCGCTTCAGAATCATTTGGTCAGCTGTGCCGCCCATGTTTTTACCGCCTCCGTGGGCCTTATCTGAAAGAAGATTGTACAGCAGGGATAGACGGCGGAGATTATAAGCAACCTCTGTGTGTTGCTATTGCCCATCAAAAACTGTTGCACTTCCTGTATGTGAGTCTCATGCTCCTTACGAGGTTGTTACTGCCAACTCTCTGGTCGCATGTCCAGTCGTCGCCCGATCCGAACGAACCGGAGATCATTAGTGCTGAATTATTTGACACAAACCCGAGTCTACGTATGCATACAGGATTCACGTGCCTTCGGGGACTCTACAAGCGAAAAGTGTTGCGTTCGCACGAAGGGGTGATGCTTGTCAGTCGTTCCTGAACTGTTCTTCACGTGCAGCTGTCTAAGCCATGGTGCGAGCCAACATCATGTCTGGCAAGAACGTGACGAGCCAACTTCATGCCGGGCAAGAAAGTGCACAACTTGAGAGGGTTTCGCGACTATACCGTTTCTCAAGAACAGAGAGTAATATAAAGTCAACACATGAATGCAACAGTAAACGTAGCGGCATACCTTCGTAGGATGTTTGCAAGGCCTTCAGCTCTGCCTTTATCTTCTCGCCTTCTTCCCTGAGGACACTAGCCGCGTCTTGCTTTGCTAAAGTTAATCGAGCTGTCTCAACATTGCCCTTGCGCACGTCAGTCCTTAGATCCTTCATCCGCACGACGTTCGTCATTCCGAGAAGCAGCGCCTGGCGAGCACTTTCATCGCCAAGAAGACGGTTGAGTTTCTCGGTGGACAAACCTTGCAGCTCGCCAAACGTGTCGGGAATATCAGGGATTGGCGTGTGGTGCACAGGTGGTCTCATTCTCCTGGTCTGCACTTCGCCCCCTGTCCTTGGGTCCGTGCTAGTCATGTGTGCTTTTCCCTTGGCACTTGCCGCACCTCCTGTTGCGCGGCCGGCAGGATAGCTAACAGGCGGGTTGCCCAAACCGAATGCTCCCACGGCTGGTGGAGTTCCTGAAGGTTCTTGAGCGATCGGCCCTCCCCATACTGTGGAGGCTTGAACACGCCCAGACGTTGTCACGCCTCCATTGGAACGACCGAACTCTTGGATGACTGCTGCAACGATGTCTCCTATTAGGGGTGGATTGGTACCATCCCATCCGTGTAGATCGGGATGTCCCACAACCTGCATGTACGTATTGACCCACGGGTGCGTCACCGGGGACAAAAGCTGCAGCACTGGCAGACCACCAGACGGCATTCAGACAACAGAGGGCGTAAAACCGATGCAAGAACAAATTGAAAGTGAGTACCCGAGCGCGAGTCAGAATGCACGTAGTGGAACCGAGTAGAATACATGACAGCCTCCGCCGACCTCTGCAATCGTAAACATGTGTGGAACCTGCGACACGTGAACGTGAACACAACAGTGAAAAAGAAAGCAAAATGGTATGTCTTGCTTTTACTGCGATATGGCATCCTCACTCGACATGACTCTGGGCGTATGCCCCCAACCAAACTCCACAGCATGTTTGCGGACCGGGAGGAAAGCTGGTGCAAGGATTCGAAAAAATTCAAATATACGTACATTCCACTGAACCGTGAAGAAACGTCAACTTCGTTTCCACGACCTACTTGACGAGATTTGGCAGGTTCGGGAAGACTCAAGCGGTCATCTCAAGCCAGAATGCGCCACCACGTAAAAGTATTTGAAGTCCCCCAACGTTGTCCACATTTGGATAGTTAAATACATAACCTTCTAAGAATTACCAAAAGTGACGGCCGCACTAGACACGAGTGGAATGCGCTTGACAGTAGCACTAAAGACATCCAAGCGCCGCGCTTGGTGGCGACCCTCAGAACACCAGAGAGGTGACGTCAAGGTGAGTGAAGATGGCACTAAGGGGATTCCAAAAGAGGGGGAGGAGCACGCACATGCCGAAATGCTCGCTGAGGTTGATTGCTTGGAGAGGGACGTCCCTGAAAGTTGCGTCAAACATCCTCCCCGCTCCCCCCCTCCCCTTCACTCGGACCAAGAGAGCGGCAAATCAGGACGCACAGTCCCCTCCCGCCCCCCGCCCCATTGTGCTCTAAAATACAGCTTGGATCATATCGTAAATAAAAAGAGGGCCGGCCCCGTCGGGAATATAGAAGCCACGTCCCCGCCTTTACTCCAGGGGTGGCAGCCGAACGCCCCCCGATCAAAAGAATATACTCGAGTATAGATTTATCACATATCCCTCCCCCCGAATCCCAGATTGAGGCAGAGCGTCTGGATTGCCGCCCGCGGAATTTCCAGGGCGTAATGTGGGTGGTTCGAAATTCGCTGCTGAGCAGACAACTGCGCACACGCCAGCCACCAACGACGTCGATGAACACACGCTCTGGATCTGGATACGACGGGTTGTGCAGCACCGACACGACACGCAATTTGATGCGTTTCTGTGACAATAAAGACGTCAATCCCTACCCTTCAGGTAGCTAAAGTTGCCTCGCGAGGAGCATCGAGAGGGCTCCACCGTTGAGGCGGTCGTTGCGGGGGGGGTTCACAGGCGGGCACCCTTGCCGGACAACACGGCATATCGAACGTGATCAAGAAATACTACGCCAATATGAGTACGGGACACCCCTGCTTGACCACGTCGAAAGGAGGCCTTCCTACTTCCCTGGTATGAACCGCACCTACGACGGTGTGCAGTTGGGTGAAGGACCAAAATTCACGGCGGGGGGGACAAAAAGAATCGTCAAACTGAATTCCGATCAGTTTTAATCACTCACGCTGCAGAGTTGATAAGTCCGTATCCACGTCACGTCACCCTGTCCATATACTGAACAACATGGGCAGCTCAGTCGCAATTTGTCTTGGTATAATCCAGCATTGAACAAACCATTAATATGTTGGGGTTGTCGAATTTACGACATCGCGGTTGTGAAGGCCTTGATTGCATTGCTGCCAACCGAGTGCGGTTCGTTGCACATTTCTGTGGGGCGTATTTGTGGCTGTGGTACTTTTGCAAGCCAGTTGTGGTCGCCCAAATGGTCCACAACACTGTTCCGTGGTTCCACGTGGTTAAATCGAGGGTTACATGGATGGCTCATGAGGGCACACCTCTGCACGTTTCAAGGACAACTACACCTGGAGCAACGAGCAGATGGCTTGCCCTTGGTTTGGATACCACATTTGTCCCCTGTAACACCGTTTTGTATTGGAGCATGAAGTTGCGAGAAAACCATTGTTTAATTTACAACTGTTGGTAGGAGATTTTGGTCACACCTATATTTGCACGCTCACAATGGGCCGAAGGAAGTTTTCTTCGCGGGACTGGCGGAATGCGGATCATTTGTTGTTCATTGAGCACCGGCGAGAAGCAGGAACACCCCTTCATGCCACACCGCCAAAAATTCATAGCCTGGTTTGGTGTGTTGTTGGTGTAATGGTTTTGGAGTAAGACATAGTGGCATCGTAACTCGCTTCGCTCGCAGACACTTCACGGGGTTTCGGGCGCGGTGCAGTGTGCGGTCACAGTGCCGTGTGACTTGCTTCACTCGAAGGCACTTGACGGAGTTTCGGGCGCGGTGCAGTGTGCGGTCACAGTGCCGCTTGACTCGATTCGCTCGAAAGCACTTGACGGGGATTCGAGCGTCGTGCAGTGTGCGTCACAGGAGTGCCGTATTGCTCGCATGTATTCAAAGGCAGTTCATGCGCAGCAGCGTCATGTTCCCCCTCTCGAGGAGTTCCTTATGTGCTTCGTCACACCCCGGTGTGCCTCTCTTCTCTTCGTCCGTAGACACTTGGCTATATTGCACAACATGATTAATGGTTCGACCGCTCAGCGAGTGCATACTCCCCCTCGACACGCGTTGCCCCACCCAAACCGTTGTACAGAACTCCAGGCCACACACCGGCCCACCCGTCTGGGGCGTTGTATGACCGTCTTTCGTCCCACAGCAGTGTAGCGTACGCAACTCCCCTACCCCTCACGTTAACCGTAACAGCAGTGTCCGGTGCCTATTGTTGCATATAGAGCGTTGATGGCATCGATGGGCGGTTGGGACGCCTCCTTGAGGAAATATCATGCTAACTCTCTGTCTGTCCTGCAAGACATCGTCTGGTAACACGAGGAATAACCCCCCCCCGGACTCCCCCCAGCGTGGTTTCCTGGGTTCACCACACGGGTAGTATCCTTGGTCCACCGCACGCGTTGTCTGCTGGGTCGCAATACGAGTGATGAACATTATGTAATTATTAGGAGGTATGCAGTTGTCCCGTGCCCCACAGCAGCAGTTTGAGAGTCAGCGTGGTGAATTCGAGCACGAGACAGAGAGACAGCAGTAGAGCAGAGAGTACGAGCCAAGAGAGACGTGCAGCAACTGATGTGATGACGATTCATATGTTATGCGTGCGCGCATGATGTGTGGTTGTACCTGTTGATGCACAAGCTTGGAGGAGAGGGTTGTACATCGACGCTGCTCTACTGCGGTTCGTAACCGAGAAGAAGCACAGCAACAGTAGAGAGCTGCTACGAACGTAATACAGTGGTTGCTGCGCAGGCAACCCCGTGGTACTGCTGTATAGCTCATGGCATAGCAACCGTCTGCGTTGGCTACAGTAGCAGACATGCAGCCCAGCAGCAACAGATGGCTTGCCTGCTGTGCTTCTTTGCACGTGCTGTGCCTGCTGTGTTGTGTGAAGTAGTTTGGCGTTTTGGCTTTCCGGGGACGCGCCTCCCGCAGCCCAGGGCACAAAGAAGTGAGGCTGGGAACGAGATATATGTCCGGAGGTGTCGCAACCCCCTCCCCCCTGGTTTAATAATTTGTAGATACAGGGTATGCAGCTGTTCCGTGCCCCAGCAGGAAGGTGAATTCAAGCACTAAGAGAGACAGAGAGAGATAAGTGCAGCAACTAACTGGTGGTGTGATGACGTTGCCTTCTGTAACGTGTGCGCCTATGTTGTGTGGTTATACTTATGCCCGTGGGTAGAGGAGAGGGTAGATCGACGCTGCTCTGCGCTGCTCTGCGGTTCCTAACGGAAGCACACAGCTCTGTAAGATACAAACGTGTGCACCAGCAGCAGCAGCAGCAGTACCTGTGAATGTGTGTGCCTACGATGCGTGGTTGTACGTGCGAGCCGTTGTGCACTACTGTACATGTAGTCACACAGCAGTCTACTGTTGTATGCTGTCGTTTGGTTGGTCCACCGCACGTGTAGTAAGTAGTCTGCTAGGTCACAACACGAGTGCCGGGGGGGGGGTAAACCCCCCCCGGACCCCCCCCAGCATGGTTTGCTGGGTTCACCACACGCGTAGTATGCTTGGTCCACGGCACGCGTTGTCTGCTGGGTCACAATACGAGTGCCGGGGGGGGGACCCCCCCCAGCGAGCCAGCGCGTGGTCTGCTAAGTCATATTATATGTACTTTATTTTTAAAAAAGCCAGAGCGTGCAACAGAAGCTTGGAAAACGAGTTGGCGGCACAATACCTGGCGTTGTGCCTTCCAATCGACGCCAGGGAGACCTCACATCATGCTCACATCCAACACAAATACGTGTATTCTACTCAGCTGCGGCTTCCAACTCGTCTCTCAACCATTCTGGCTTGGCCGTTCTATACCGCGTGGATCGTGGGCGAGTGCGTGGCAAGAGACGGTCTACGTGTGTGGTACGGGCAGGTGCTTGACGTGGATTGGCGGAAGTCTCGCCGCGAGACTTTGTTTGACACTTTTGCTCCAGATCACGCGATTATTGTCAAAAGCAAAAGTTCCCAATCTTTTGGCGCAACTTTTGCTCCTATAGTAAAGAGCGTACACATGAGAAAAGTTTGCAAACTTGGACTTTTCTTGCAACTTTATGCTCCCATAAATAGCCGTGTTGTTGTTGTAAGCCACAAAATTCGCGAACGCTGCTTGGTTATAAAGCGAGTATTTCAGATGGATCCAACCTATGGGGGGAGGAGTCTGAATTAGGTGTTTATTGGAGTTGATGAGAAGTGAGCATTTATTATTATGTGCCAAAGAGGATGTCTGCGTGCGTATAGAAGAGGAGTCATCCGCACCGAGAGAAGGCAGCTGCTCGCAGGACATTCCGTTTGCGCCCGATCACGTTGAAGCATCATCAGTGCTGGAGCACAGGGACTGCTAAACGTACGAGTGGACAACACTGCCAGCTACTACCTGTTAAGACGTTCTGTTCCGGGGAGCTAGTGTTGTTTCCGTTTGCGCCCGATCACGTTGAAGCATCATC